CAAGGTGAGTGATGGACCGTGCAAGGTGGATGATGGACTGCATGGTGGACGATGGACCGTGCAAGGCGGATGATGGGCCGCGCAAGGTGGATGATGGACCGTGCGTGGTAGACGATGGTGCTAGGGACGCACTCAACAAAATGAATAAAGCCGTCTTCATCCCTGTATTGTTCGGCCTTGTGATCGAATAGGTTCTTCCGTAGCCAGTGATAAAACAGTTTCTTTGGTGTCTTTATTACAACTAAAATCATGGATGAGCACTGAATTCGTATGGCACTATAACTAAACCTTCCTGGACAAACACGGGACCGAGACTTCTTGGAAAACGGAAACTGAGACTGAGACTCCTTACGCATCCACGGCATTCACTATACTAACCCTGCTTACAAGCTTCAGTCGAGGTCACGTCAAACTTACTCTAACAGAGAAATGAAAAAACGTATTATCAGCTCAGTCCCTAACAATGGACCGTGCATGGTGGACGATGGACCGCGCAAGGTGGACGATGTACCGTGCATGGTGGACGATGGACCGTGCAAGGTGGATGCTGTGTTGTGTTTCTGTAGGCAATAATATACTATTCTCTGCGGTCAACTAAATTGCCATCAACGCCGTCTTGATCTCCTCACACACGCCAGGCTTCAGAGCGTGACGTTATCTCTGTAATCTGCGCCTGTCAGAGCTGTGCGATAAACAGGACTTATGATGTCAGATGCAGCACCTGTAACTGCACACCTGGTGCAGGTGATGCGTCATATGCAGCACTTGCATTTACCCATATTCATTCAGCTAACCTAACAAATATATGCAAATAGCGCCACATGAGCAACATGAAATATATCAAACGCAAGTTCTTCATTCCTTTTTTCTCAATCTGACTTTGCAATAGTCCTTGTATCAAACCTGCAAGCGCTCTAAAATTCACGACAAGATCCTATAGCTGCAGACCGCGGCGCTCCTTCGCCAGCCTCTGCAGATCAGGAGAGCTTAAACCCGTGGACACTTTTACCCCGCGACACTCAAACCACTGGTCAGCAAATATACTGTTTCCTGTAGCAATTAAGCTGTCAACACCCAGCGCGGTCCCTGGCTGATGAATTCAATTTCTCAGTAGCCAAATGATGGACAGTGGTAATTTTGTTCCACTAACGCAGCTCATGGCGCTGATCCCAACGCTGTCCTCATCACTGGCATAAGTCATTTAAATGGCCTAGCTGGCACTGCATGGATTATCTCCTACTCGTTCGGTACATAAATAATATAATATAGTTGTGACATACATAAATAACATAGTGATGTCGGCGCTGAAGCGTAGGCCTGATGTGGGCTGCCGCTGATTCTTATCATTTTCGTGCCTTGTTCACAGAAGATCTAAAATCGTGTCATTTGACCGGATCTTTTCATGACTGACGATAATGAATGATATAAATAAAAATGTTTCTTAAAATTTCAGCAATTTTTTCAATTTGGTTATGTAACGTGAATTTACTGGTAAAAGATATAATCGTCGGAGTATCTTGCCACAAACGCAGCTATATATTCATAGTCGCCAAGCCTCGCCACGCCGTTATCAGCGCCGCGTGTCCGTCATCCGAGATAACGCAGCAAGAGGCTCCTGACGCACGGTCTTCCGGTGAACGCTTGCCAGCAAACTAGTTTATTTATTCGTGAAGTTAATGAATTTCTGAGGAACAGGATGTGACAGAACAACAATAAATTGATGTATGATACGAGAAAGATCATGAATTGATTTTTTATTTCATTCCTGACTCCTCCTACTCATCTTCCTAATACTATGAGTGTGTACATCGGATATAGACTTAATTTCCAATACTTATAAAATATGAGAGCTAGCACTCTAATAACTTCAATGCCATGTGGAAAGTAAAAATTAAAATTACACATAGGTAATGAAGTTTCTTCAAAGAAGGTGAGCCTCATTTGAAGGAAACACTTGAAATCCCAGGCCACGTAAGCCAGCCTCCGCCACGTGCTGCTCGTCTCTCTGGGTGAGCAGTTTACCCGCCGCAAGAAACAGCAGAACAAACGTGTGTATAAAGTGGGGCCAGGATCAGGGCTGTTGCGCTACCCAATTAGCTGCTGCAGGGGTGAGTATCACACACCAGCAACTGGCTGGACTGTACCACAGAGCGCTGGCACTGCAGGTCAGGTAGTGCCAGCCACGTCAACAAAGCGACCGCAACATGTCGCAATCAAAGTGCTTAAATCGCGACACTGGAGGGAAGTTTGTAATTTCCATAATTTCATCGTTTATATATTCACTGTTTCGAGGAAGCACGATAATTTTGTACGCAATTTAGTTTATGAAAACCACAATGTAGGTTTGCACGCAATGTTGGCGTACAAGCATTGCTTGTACGCAATGTTTGTGATTGGTAGCCTTCTTTACCAGCGGTCTTTATAAGTTCCAGGCTCGTATCGTGAATACAACACGAACGCCTCATGTAAGTTCCAGTCTCGTATCGTGGAAACAACACGCATGCCTCACGTAAGTTCCAGTCTCGTATCGAGGATACAACACGAATGCCTCACATAAGTTCCAGTCTCGTATCGCGGATACAACACGAATGCCTCACATAAGTTCCAGTCTCGTATCGCGGATACAACACGCATGCCTCACGTAAGTTCCAGTCTCGAATCGTGGATACAACACGCATGCCTCACACAAGTTCCAGTCTCGTATAGTGGAAACAACACGCATGCCTCACGTAAGTTCTAGTCTCGTATCGTGGATAAAACACGAACGCCTCATGTAAGTTCCAGTCTCGTATCGTGGATACGACACGCATGCCTCACGTAAGTTCCAGTCTCGCTATCGAGGATATAACACGCATGCCTCACGTAAGTTCCCGTCTCGTATCGTGGATACAACACGCATGCCTCACGTAAGTTCCAGTCTCGTCTCGTGGATACAACACGCATGCCTCACGCAAGTTCCAGTCTCGTATCGTGGCTACAACACGCACGCCTCACGTAAGTTCCAGTCTTGTCTTGTGGATTCAGCACGCATGCTTCAGGTAAATTCCAGTCCCGTATCGTGGATACAGCACGCATGCCTCACTTAAATTCCAGTCCCGTATCGTGGATACAACATGCATGCCTCTATCAAGTTCCAGTCTCGTATCGTGGATACAACACGCATGCCTCAGCTGCTTGGGGATTCATCCTCGTGGCTCCACGTCGCAAGAGGATTTGCTCGACCAGTTTGTCGACATTAGCGATGTCCACTCGTTAATTTATCAAATTATAACTTGATACACGAGCGAGTGGATTACCGAGGTCTGGGGATGCGGTGGCTGCGCCGGCATGCATCGTTATCTGCTGCCCTGATAGCCGTTATCTGCGACGCCCTCAGTTGCGCGACTTGATCACAAACTTGCAAGATTCAGAAAGTGTCTTCAGAGTGAGGTGTTGTTGGCGCAGTGAAGTGTTCGCTCGTGCCTATGTATCTTGGTGTGTAAACCTGGTAACTATATTTAACTATCTTAAGTGTACCTAACCTGTGCATTTTGGTGTGTGAACCTGGTGACTATATATAGCTGTATTAATTAGTGTACCTAACCTGCGCATCTTGGTGTGTGAACCTGGTGACTATATATAGCCGTATTAAGCGTACAGCAACTGGGAACACTTCCGAGCTGCGTCATCGTGCACGTAAGTACCTCAAGTACTTCAATGGCGAAGTTACAGGTGCACTTTTCAGGAAATGTTTTATGAATGGAATATTTTTCACATAAACATTATTATCGTATTCACCAGCTGCATTATCCTAATTTCATCATTGTTTTCGCATGCTAATTGTTTTCCTGATATTGATATAATCGACGTCTGTCACTCAGGAGTATAAAGGAGCAGAATCAGGGTCCTTTTAGCGATGCAGTGAACGTGCAGCGCTTCTGCCTCAACAATAACCCCGGAAGCTCAATTTTCTGTTGACGAGACGCGCTCTTTAGGCGCGCTGCCGCCTCAGTTGCGTCGTATCCAGGATACTTATCGTGTCGGAATGTTGTATATATGGGCTGTTGGGACGCGGATCCCGGATACTTATCGTGTCGTGATGTTATCGGGACCTGAAAATGTATCGAATTATCGATGATAGCAGGGCATAGCAAACTTTTGGGAAAAAGATTGGACCAAGAATTACAATTTAATTTTAAAATTTACGAGAATTACATTGGTTCAGGAATTTAATTCAAAAGACAGAATTTTTCCATATTTTGAAACAAGTATCTACTGAATAGATTCTTATAAATTCCACAATCTAGTAAAATACGGGCTTGGATTGGCATTTTTTTCGTTAGCATACATTTGCTTTATTATTATAACCGCGATTATTGAGAACAGGTTGGGATGACGGGGTTCTAGAATTGCAGGGATTATCAATCCCTGACCACGAAGAAGCTGCTAGTTTGAAATGAATGAAAAATTGTCGCACAAAATTGGTCGTGCACACTCACGCTTTTTAAGAACATTTCCGAGCCCTGCTACCATCTCTGTTTCCCGCAGCGCATGAACGGTGCGGTGTGAAAAGCAAGAGGCCGCTTATCAGGCCGTACAAGATAACGAGCGTTTGTAACCTCTCATTTTGAAGGGTCATGCTTTTTTACATTCTACACGGCAAATTAAATCCTGCGTTTTGCTTTCTCTTATTCTCTACCTTTGTGTCGCCAATCAATTTCATCAGCTGAGCTGGGGAGGTTTTCTCTGGATGATGGAGATGGCGGGGCGCTGGTGATGAGGGAGGCGATGGCGAGGGCGCTTTGCTATGCCTAAAAATAGCTAGAGGGAGCTAGGAGCTACTAAATACTGAGTAAAATATTTCAACTAATGCAAATATTCAGAACATTATTATTTTACCGTACGATCATACCCTATCATAAAGTGTGAAAGAAATCTGTAACTGGCCTCAGTGTGGACTCATACTGGCCTTAACTACATAATCTGACAACTGAATTTATGATCAATAAGCGCAGAATTTGATCCAAGGTATTTTGACGATAAAATGAATATACATACACCTTATAAAATATTGCTTAGGCGGTATTTAGAAGTGGCTATATAACGGCTCTTAGTGACAATTTAAATTAAGGATAAGTTAATAAATAAAAGTCGGCGCAACCTCAAGAAAGTTGTTAGTATGAGAGCCAGTAGACGCACTTATAAGAATCTCAAGACAAGATAGTTAACAGAGTATTGACATTGCGACCGACGAAATTTGAAGCTGTTCACGTATCAGGCAATAGCCTGGCGGCAAGCTTTGCAGCAAAATTTAAACGCGTCAAAATATGTTAATTAAGCCGGGCCAAGAGATGAAATTAAATGCATTAGCTAATTAACAAGTGCCCATTGCATTCCTGAATTCAATGGCGTTAGCAGAAAGCTATTGCCAAGGCACTCAATGCCACCGACTTCACGAATTTGCTCTTTAATTTCAACTATCTGAACCTACACTTAAACTTACTGGTCGTTACTACACGAAAATGGACAAATTTCTTATAACAGCAAAGTATAACAAAACTAAGGGAAAAAGATTGGACCAAGAATTACATGTGCCAATTGACATAGGCACATTAATTTAAATCAGAAGACGCAGATTTTTTCATAATTTGAAACAAGAATCTTGCGGGAGTTCCAGGCTCTATGAAAAAATATTGGTTTGAACGGGCCTATTTTTTGGCCAGCATGCATTCGCTTTATTATTATCAACGCAATTCGAAATAATGGCTATGGAATGACGGTATACTAAACTGGTAGAAATTATTGACTCCGCGCTACTCCGGGCAAAGTTGACAGTTTTAAATACATTAAAAATTTTAATCATCAATTCGTTGTTTTTTCTCGCCCTCTTTTATATCATTTTCGGGCCCTGCCACAACCTGTTACCTGCAGCGCATGAGCTGCGCGGCGAGATAAGCAGGAGGCCGCTTATCAGGCCGGGGAAGATAACGAGTCTCAGCGCCTGCAACTACGCGTCTTCTGGTGCAGGTCTGAGCTTTTAAACTTCACGTTTGCGACTCAAAACTAAGTATTCCTCGAGCTTTTCTATATTATACTAAAGAATTTCTACCGTTTCCATCGGTTCGTTTGGGAAATTTGCGTAAAGCAGCCGTGTTTTACGGCTCAAGAAAACAATGGATTAGTTATAAAAAAGTCCGTGAGGCCATATTATTCCGCCAAGTTCGCACAACTGAAGTTCAATAAGAGGTGATATCACTTATGGACTATCAACTGAAATTCAACACAAAACGAATAGAGTATCTAATTCGTCCGTAACACTCATTACACTGCAGATCATCATTGTAGGCTGAAATTTGTTGCAGAAAAATGCTACAATTTCGAACCACAAAACCAGAGGGACACTGATTGTTGTTTTTCCTTCCTTCGCCGAGGTGATTTACCTGACGTCACAGATTTCGTTATCCGGAATAACCAGAATGAATATGTATGACCTATTTCTGGATCACAATTTGCTTACGTTAAGTGACTTTGAACATAAAACTTGTAATATGTTCACGTAACTTATATAATTTGAATTAAATTTTGAAAGATTTGTATCGTCTAAATTTCTTGCCACAAACGCAGCTATATATTTATAGTCGCCAATCCCTGCCACGCCGTTAACAGCGCCGCGTGTCCATCATCCGAGATAGCGCCGCAAAGAGGCTCCTGACGGGCGGCCTGTCATAAATGTTTATAAATTTCAGAGTTTGTGCGTTTGACGCCTGGCACTGCAATATACTGTATATGGGCTGTTAGGGCGCGTATCCAAGATACATATCGTGTCGGGATATTGTTGGGACCTAAAAATTTTTTTCAGGCAAACGCCCTGAGTTGCGCTGCACGATAAGCAAGAGGCCGCTTATCAGGCCGGGCAAGATAACGAGTGCTTGCAACCTCACATTTTACAGAACGTAGGGTCATGCTTTTTACATTCTGCACGCTAAATTAACTCCTGCGTTTTGCTTTCTCTTATTCTCTATCTTCGTATCGCCAATTAATTTCATCTGCTGAGCAGGGGAGCTTTTCTCTGGATGATGGTGATGAAGGTGTTATGGAGTTGATGGCGGGGAGCTACACGTGAAGTAATAATGATTGAGCAATATAGGAACTACTGGATCCTGCTGAGTTGAATATTCCATGAAATGTTGTTGTTTTAGAGTATTGATATTTTATTCGTACGAGAATACTCTATGATGAAGCAAAGAAGCAATCATAAGAGCCCTACCTGGCCTCTGTGTAAGTAGAGGAAGCGTCGGATCATGGCTCATTGCCGTCAAATAATTCAGCTGGGTAATGCAGCAGTAATTCAACAGAGTAATTCATTTGTAATTCAGCAGTAATTAAGCTGGCTAGGAGTTATTTCCAATAATACAAAAATTACAACATTTATTTCATCTGACAAACTCATTCCACTTTGGATCATTTCTCGGGCCTCATTCAAGTTTCAGAAGAGCGATGGAGGCTGCGAGACTCCGGTAGTTTTCTTCGTAGTCGCGCAAGGAATTTCCATGAAAATTTATTTTCTCTCCCACGATTCTTATTGTCATTATTTAAGCGACATGAAATATCAAACCTGATCGCAAGCTCAGCATTCATTTTTCGTTAAGGTAGCGTTTGAGTAGGAAAAGCGTTCATTTATTTACCTATATTGATGATATTTTATACCCACATGTTAAACACTTTTACAAGCCCATTTGTTCGTATCAATGTATTGACAAAACGAAAACAAACATAAAATGCAAAGAAACCGTAACAAATGAACTTTAAGAATTTTTTAATTCGTATAATTTTGTAAAAATTACATTATATTACCAATGCAAATGACTATTGCCTATAGAGCTAATTTTTCGGATATCGTTTTCACTTCCTTTGGCGGGTCTTTTTTCTTTTCCCCACCTTCATACTTTTTCCCTGCAATGCCGTGCAAATTCGTACAGCGCAGATATATGACAAATTTTGGCTAAATTTAAGTTTTATTTGGTACGTATGGTGTGTAGGTGTGTAGTGACACACTCATTGTACTAGGTGTGTAGTGACACACTCATTGTACTAGGTGTGTAGTGACACACTCATTGTACTAGGTGTGTAGCTGTCTCTTATACACATCTAGATGTGTATAAGAGACAGTAGTGACACACTCATTGTACTAGGTGTGTAGTGACACACTCATTGTACTAGGGGTGTGGTGACACATTGTACTAGGGATGTAGTGACACACTCATTCTACTAGGTGTGTAGTGACACTCTCATTGTACTAGGTGTGGTAAACATGTTAGTGGTACGTATAAAAGATGATATAATTAATAAGAGATATGACCTCGTCCAGCTTTTATTAGCATCTGAACATGATGCGACCACATTTGAGCACATTTTAGCCATTTCATCATCATTATACCAGGCCGCTTATCAGGCCAGGAAAGATATAGCGAGTGTTAGCGCCTGCAACTACGCTCATTTTGTGCTGGTGTAGTGCACAAAAATCGCGAGTTTCATTACTTTAAGCAAATTTTACCTTCTCCGTGAAGTTAACAACGCCACGTAGGAAGCTAAAGTCACGTTCGCCTCAAGCATTCAGTCATTACATTCAGGACCATCCTAGAAACTCATATGAATGAGCTAGGCCAATTGAATATGAATCCTTGCAATTAATTCCT